GTGGGTACTGTTTTAGTCCATAAATAGCTTTGTTTAACTTGCAGACATAATTGGGATGGATAGTATCTTTAAAGCCAGGTTGTTGCGCCATATATACGGTGTCTTAAAGCTTACGGTGAAGAAAGGCATTTGGTACATCCATTCGACATATGGGCAATTTATGTTGAATAGAGATGGTGATAAAAATGTGGATGGTTTGGATCTTTGCAAAGAGCAGAATGTTTTGGTGAAATCCAAACTGTATTCTTGATCATAGCCTTTAGCGACTAAAGGGGCTTTATATCGTGCGACCGTGCCATCAGCTTTAAATTTTATTATGTATAACCATTTACAAATGAGTACATGCTGTGTTGGAGTTGGTGGGACTAATGTCCATGTCACTTGAGTTTGAAGAGCTTGAAATTCATCAGACATGGTTTGCCGCCAATGGGGTACTTAATGGAAAAACTGTAGCAGGTAGAATCAGAGGAAGGAGTAATGGTTTGTGAAAGATTGAGAATATTATGTGGTTTAAGATGTCCTGATTGCAGCTATGTTATCATGTGATGAGATTTGAGTATTGGGTGAGGAGGTGAAGTGATGTCAGGTAAAATTGAAGAGGGTGACGGGGCTGCTGGGAATGGTGAAGCAGAGGAGTTGGATATGGTTAGACTTTGAGATGTATTATTATGTGAGGTCATTTGTGGTGTGGTAATGTTAGGAGATGAATTTGATAAATCTATAGAGGGAGGAGAGTGTAGTGTGGTAGGTATGCTTGGGACAAGAGTAAGAGGAGGCAAATATGTGTTGATAGGTGGGGAAGTGGTTCCAGCATATGATTGGGATTGTGATGAGTAGAATGGAAAAGTATGCTTGTCGAAGGAGACATGGACAATAATAGTGATCTGATTGGTGGATAAGTTCAAGCATAGAAAAGATTTTGGATTATATGAATATCCAAGAAATACAGATGGAAGAGCTTTGTGGGCAAGTTTATGGTGGAGATGATTTGGTAAGAGCGGGTAGCATTTGCAACCGAAGACCTTGAGGAACTTGTAATATGGGGTTTTATTATAGAGCAACTCATAGGGAGATTTGTGGCATGTAGTAGGTGAATGAAGTCTATTTATGTGATATACGGAGGTTAGAGCAGCATAGACCCAGAACGTGTATGGAAGCGCAGAATCAAGAAGTAAAGTTCTGGTGGTCTCAATTATATGCCGATGTTTTCTTTCACCGAGGTCGTTCTGTTGCGGTGTATAAGGAGAACTCAATTGATGTTGTATTCCTTGTTGTTGGAAGAAAATTTTAAAATAATTATTAACATATTCTATACCGCAATCAGAGTGGAAGGCTCATAGCTTGAAACCAAGTTGATTTTCAGCATTAAGTTTGAATTGTTTAAAGTATTTAAATGTATCAGATTTGTATATCATAGGATATATCCAAGTATAACGAGTATAATTGACCACAAAAATGACATAATAGCGAAATCCATTATATAAAGAGATAAGGGAAGGCCCCCAAACATCACTGTGAACTAGTTGAAGAGGTTGTATAGTTACATGAGTAGATAACTAGAAAATAGAGTGAGTACATTTAGATTGACTACATGCAGTACAACATTGAGAAGAAGATAAAACAGAGTTAAAGGGATGTTTGGAGGTGATGCTCGATACGACTGCAGAACTGGGATGACCGAGACGCTTGTGCCATTGGGAGGTGGTAAGTGAAGAAGAGAGCGCTGTAGGATATTATTATCTGAAGGATGATCGAGGAACAGGATAGAGACCTCTACGACTGGGACCTAAGAGGAGAGTAGAGTTATTCTTCAAATCCTTTATTTGAAAACCATGATAATCAAAGGAAACAAAATAGTCATTACTAGTGGTGAGTTGCTTGACGGAGAGAAGGTTGTGAGGAAGATTTGGCACATGATAAAGAGGATGAAGGAGTTACGGGATGGGGTTTGAAGAATACCCTGTCCAGAGGAGGCAATAGGTAGAGTCTGATCGTTTCCAATAGCAACTTGAGAATTTCCTTGACACGGTTGATCTGAATGTATAAGTGACAGGTTTGTGGTGAGATGAGCTAAAGTACCAATGTCCAGAAACCACTCCGATGGAGTAGTTGTGGAAGCTGAAAATGCAGAATTCAGTGCTGACTGATAAGTGAGATCAGTTCTGTACTAGCAGGTGAATGCAAAATGATCATTCTTAGAACAAATCTGGCATTGGATATCTTTGCTGATATGACCTCCAAATCTTCCTCTATGTGAGTTTCCACGAGCATCTCGGCCAGTAGAATGTCCTCCACGATTGAAAGGATGCCCACGGGAGGTGGGAAATCATCCTCGGCCATGACCTCTGGATGCAGATAAAGCGAATGTAGATTCATTGGGTTTAGAAACATGAGCTTCATGAGGGCTTCGGTAGCAACGTTAATTTATTCACTACATAAAAGTGAATATAAATCATCTAAATTGATGGGCTAGAGGTTGGTTCGGATTGAAGTTTTGAAAGCATTGTAGCTCATAGGAAGACCTTTTAAAGTATACATGATGACGTCCTCGGAATCAATGTATCTGCCGGCTGCATTGACAGCGTCGACTTTCGCCTTTATCAATGATAGATATTGATTCATATACATATCCTTCATAGAAAGATTATGAAGTTCATTTTTAAGCTGCAAGATACGAGATCTGTTCGAGGATTGAAGTCATTTTTCAATAGTATGCCAGACTTTATGACATGTTTCAAGGTTTAAAATATAGGGCATCAAGGAAGGTGAGATAATGGAATAGAGAGCAGCAGTTAAGTTTTGATCTAACAACATCCAGTATGTGTGGGAAGGGTTGGACGTGAGAGTATTGTCTGAACCTGTAATGAACTTGTTTGGGTAGGATGTAGAGCCATCGAGAAAACCAAAAAAGCCAGTAGCCTTAAATAATTTAATGACTTGAGTTCTCCATGTGGGATGGTTTTCTGTGGTAAGCTGAGGATGGACAATATTTTTAATATTGGCCATAAGAAACTTGAGGGATGGAGGAATCTGAACTTTAGTCTTGTCGAAGAAGGACTCCACAACTGGAGCGGGAACATAAGAGGAGGCAGAAGAAGTCATATTTGAGCAAGAAAAAATAGGGAAGAGGATTACCAGCTAAGCAAGAAGAAGCCATTATGCAATGGCTCTGATACCATGTTAAAAGGCTATCAGAGAAGCCATTAAATGCTTAAAATAAGAGAGCATTACAGAGTATGTACCTCTTTACTGTTCATCTTCCTCTATTCATTACATGCTTATATAAAGGTTTTAAATTGAGATCATTACTGGAATCCTGCGGCAAGTGGTGCTGGGTATCGCCTGTGTCCGCCGACTTGTCAGATGGCTGGGAAAGTAGCCGTCCTATTGAACTGAGTGTTTGGTTATATTTGGTGCTATCAGTAGCACTACAGTTATCAAATAGTCAAATAAAAATGTATAATATAACTTAAAAGCTAAAGAGATTAGACTTAGGGGTATAGACGAGTCTAGTTAAGCTTGAGTCAAAGCAAACTGGAGCTCAAGCTCGAGTTGAGCCCATAAAAGAAGCTTGAACTCTACTCATGCATTACCTCTTAGGCTCGAGAGCTCGACTATACGTCTTGAGACTCGACCATACAGCTGGAGAGCTTGACTACTTTGTCAGCTTAAGTCATGTTTGGGAGTTATCTTACTCGAAGGAAGGAATGGTGAGATATCTACTTCATCAAAGGGAGTAGCAGAGGGAGAAGATTGAGATCATTAGAGAAGCAAGCAGTCTTGTTGACTCCCATCTTGAAAAAGAAGATAAAAAGTTGTGCTATTTATAATCACTTCACTTATTGTTTAATCGTACTCATCTCAAAATGAAAATTATTTTTTTGAAAAATCATACAAATGCATTAATTGGTTAAATTTCTTATTTATGGATGAAAACTTAAAAATCGTGCAATACTTTTTAGGACTGCAAATGAACCGAATTGAACCGAGTATATGAGTGCTCATGTTTGTGTTCGTTTATTATTAACTTGTTCAAATTCGGTTTGTGTTTGATTCTAGCTTTATTTTTTGTGTTCATGTTTGGTTCGTTTAAATTAATGGTGTTTATGTTTTGTTCATGTTTGATTCGTTTAGTGCTTAACGAGCTTTAACAAGTTCTGTTCGTGAACATATTTAGAGAATTTTTTTAAACTATCAAACATGCATGTTCATGAAAAAATTCAACTAGTATTCTTGAGCTCAAATGAGCAAGATCTAATAATGTAATATAATAATTAGCAATTGTAAAGAAATTAAAACTATAACATATATTATAATAATTAATTAATTTAAAATTTATTAATTAAAAATAATTATATCATTATATTATAATAAATTTAAATATTTATATTATTTATATTTATCAAATTTATAATTAAATATTAATCGAGTTTTTAATGACCGAGTATTAAAAATGTTGTTCAAATTTGTTTGTTTAGTTAGTTAAACGATCACAAACGAGCTTTAATCGAACTGAGCAACGAGTAGCTCATGGAACGTTTGGTTCACTTGCAGACCTAATGCTTTTAAATGCATTTTTTATTGACATTTAGATCATTTAAGGTAAATTCATACACACAACGCATACACAAAGACTCAAACCCAAGACCACTTTATTGGAGCACTCTCAAATAACAAGCCAAGATGAGCTGTGTAAATGCATATTTTTATTAAATATATAAAAATTTAATATTAATTTTAATATTTAATTTATTAGAATTGGGCTGCAAGCTAATAAGCTAAGTTCAATCAAATTTAAACTTAAATTTGTGACTCAATAAACCCAACTTACGAGCACATTAGCCAGTTGAGTTGAAACGGACTCGGCTCATTTAGCCTTTAGGAGCCTAGATGGGCTCTTCGTCTAATATTTTTACGCCTCCAATTATCAAATACGATTAATACGTCCGGCTAATTGCGAGTGCATTTGGCGTGGCATTTTAGCCTTTAGGCGTAGCCTGACGGCATGGCCCCGAGCGTGCAAAACCTCAGCGTCTTTCTTCTACCTTCCCCGCTAATCTCTTGGTCATGTATAAAGCCTTCGCGTGTTACCTCTCCCTCCCCTTCACTCTGTTTCTACATTCGCCCTCTTGTTTCTAGTTCCATTCCTCATCTCCCTTCCTACCGTATCATTTCGGACGAGCGAAGGAGTCCAACTGGGGATTCTAAACCCTAGCGGCTCTTCTTCTATCCTCGCGGGCGTTCGAGGCGATGGCGGAATCGTCGGGTGTGACTGACGCTATGGCTGGGGTAGTTGCCGAGTCGATTGGAGCGTCGGAAACACCTGCGGAGGAATCAAAGGAGGAGAGGTCAGAGAGCTCGGGGGAGGAGGCACTGCTGTCACGGGCCCAAACGCTGATTTCGAAGATCATGGCCGCCGAGTTAAACCCTAATCCTAGGCACCTCCACGCATTGGCCTCCATTCTTGAGACGCAGGAGTCCAGGTACAAGCATCTGCCTGTTCGCTTGCATATGTTTCTTTCGCGGTTTGTACCTTCCTCACTACTGGGAATGGTGAGCGGTAGTGATTGATGTTGGTTGGGGCGGAGATCATGTGATTAATTTACGTAGTAGGCGATTCTCTGTAGATTTACTACTGTACCTCTTGGATATTAAACAGTTTCTTTTACCCTTTTTCCATAATGTTCTAAGCTTTCACTGAGTTTTTTTCCTCTTTTTCTCGTACTGCCTGCAAGAAGCATAATTTCTACTAATAAAATAGAATTATGTTTTACTATTGTGGAAATAAGAACTGGTGCTTAGCTAGCTGTGATGTTCCATTGTTAAAGATTATGTGAGAGTAAAGCTCGTGGCATCAACGTAACTGACTTTATGATTTAATCTTTTTCTGCTTAGGGGTCCATAAAAAAAGAGTAAGTTACTAATAAGCAAGCTATCAGTGCAGGAGTTTTTAAGGGTTGTTTTGTATACTATTTGTTGGCAGGTTTTAAACATGATTTAGCTTAAATCCTACCAAACAAATTTCTGAGACTTTAAATGATACTGATTTTTTTATTAAATCCCATCATTCCTAATATTTAATGTATTTAAGAATTTATGCCTCTTACAAATCTTAAATCTCAAAATAAATGGCCAATTTATTATAATTTAGCAAGATTTAATAGTTTTCATGACAAATTATTTTCATTTTTTAATCTCATCAAGTTTTAGTAAATCTGGATTTACAAAATTTACAAAACCCTACTTGTAGCCAAACAATTCCTTTAATTATTTTAGTCATTTCCAAATTTGGAGCAATTTTTTTTTTTGTGGATGGCTCTACTTGTTTGTTTGGGGAAAAATGCATAAATGATGAGCTCATTCTTTTCTATTTTAAATGAAATGGTGATAAGTTTTAGATTTATCTTTGAACCATATTAATTTTGGTTGAATGCCCATATAGTCTTTAAATTAGGATGTTTCATTCCCTTTATCCTTTAGAATGTTCCTACAGAGGCTTGAAAACATTTCTAACCCATTAAAGATTGTGATGTATGGTCTCCTTTAATATATTGTTGGATGATTTTGTAGTACATTTTTCTATGTAGCCAATCTAACTTATCTTAATTTTTTGAAGAAGTTTTAGTAGTTATTGCTACAATAAGTATGTTCCTTTAGAATGTTCCTACGGATTGACCCATAAAGATTGTGAGATATGTCTTTCTTTAGATATATTGTTGCATAATTTTGTAGTACATTGTTTTCTGGAGCCAATCTAACTTATCTTAAACTTTTAAAGAAGTTTTAGTAGTTAATGCTACTTTAAATATGAGATTTTGCATATCAATGACATTCTAATAGTTGAGAACTATCATTTAAGTGAATTCATTTAGGTAGATTTATTCCTTTTAATTTGTACATTATAAGAATTCCTTGGCATGAGTTGGATTTTTTGGATTGAATAAAGGTTTGATTTTTTTGGTTGCTTTTAATAAATAATATTTACATAGTTAATTGAGGATGGTTATACTACTGTCTACTGGATATAGATTATGATGGCTATATTTATGTTGGGCATTTTAATTGCCATGTTTGATTAACTCATCAATTTTTCTAATAAAAATTAATTTTGGTGATTTCCTTAATTCTTTTCTCCGTTGAGTTCTTTCCTATTGTTGTATATCGTATAGCATCCATTTTGAGTTTCCTTTGATTAGGCCGATTTATTTCATCTTTTGTCCTCTTGTTTACTTTAGAATTAATGCTAAGCTTAACATTTTTCTCCAAGAACTTGGTTATGTCACAATGCTTAATGAATGCCAAAAAAGTGACGGTCAATCATTTCAAATTTTTGGATAAAAATTGTTTCTTAAATTCAAGCAAATTAGAAGATATGTAAAGAGATTATTTTGAAAACTATGGTAGGAGAAAAAGAACGAGATAAGATGCTAAGGAAAGAGATAGAAGATTTAGGTACATTGATATGTAAAGGGAACTTAGAGTGAAGGTAATAAGTTTCTTTTGAAGATAAATGTGTTAAAGAAAATTGGAGATGTTTCCTAGCAAAATTGTAGCATCTGAACCTGAATTAACTCCTTTTTATTGACAAAGCATATATAGTATGATTGAAAAATAAATCAATATTAACTTATCTATGTATTAGAATTCTACATGGAAATATACAGTTACTTGGCTTACAATATGGAATTGATTATAATCAATAAAAAATTTTGGAAGATCATGCGATATTTAGGTTTATCAGGTTTAGTTATACTTGCTTTATAAAACAAAAGAAAAGTGAAATAGCTGATGATATGACTTGTAGAATGAGTAATTTGTTGTTAAAATGAAGAGTTGGCTATGTTATTATGTTATAAAAATCAGAAAAAAATTTAAGGAAAATTTTATGAGAAATGTTTATACAATCCTCTATGTTTTGTAAATTTGAGTTTTAGGCAATAAAGAAATTTGTATAACCAAATTTAGTGTGATAGACATGAAAATAGTTAATCGTTTGTTTGATGAGATGAAATGGAGAAAATGACCAAAATGGTCTCTCAACTCTTTGTGAGGCACCAAAATAGTCCCCAACAATTTTTAGGAACAAATTTGGTCCCTCAACTCTTTTAAAATGAGATCTTTTTGGTTCTAACATCCAATGTTGGAGTTAATAGTATTAAATATAAGGGTATTTTGCTCATTTTTAATTAAACATTTATTAAATTTTATTAAATGTTTCTTCGATAATAATAATAATTTTAATTTTAATTTTAATTTTCAGAAATTTTAGTCATATTTTATTAAATATGATTGGTAAAAATATATGTGACTAAGTTGAAAATAACATCTATTTGCATATGATTTCTCTAAATTAATAAATATCATATTTTATAAAATTTGAATAAATTTTTTAAATTAAAAATAAAATTATTATTAATTTTTTTATTAAAAAAAATTTTTGATAATTTTTTTAAATTATAATTACTTCAAAATTATATTTAATAAATGATTAATTTAAAAACAATCAAAATACCCTTACAATTAATGCCATTAACTCCAAAATTGGATGTTAGGATAAAAAAGATCCAATTTTAAAGAGTTGGGGACTTATTTGGTCTCTCACAAATTGTTTAGGGACCATTTTGATCATTTTCTCAATTAAGAAGGATAAGAACAATGCTATTTTTGTGGAGAGGTTGTGGGGGGTCATCTCTATTAAAGATGATATTGTAAAGTATTGTCTCAGGTGATTTAAGCATGTTTACAATATCGTCTCAGGTGATTTAAGCATGAAAAATAAAAGTTGCAAAAGTTGTTGTGTGAATGACATAGGAAGAAAAGGGGTTAGGCTGAAGGTAGCTTAACTGGAAGTTGTAAATAAAGGGCATGCAAACTATAGTTAGCATTACACAATAAAAATGAACACATAGAATTATTCAGAAAGAGGAATCTTTTGATAAGGCTAATTATTCTGATGCATTTCGGTTCATTGGTGTATTTATTTAGGTTTAGAGCAAAATGCATCGTTATTAATATTATTTATTTGTCTGGTTTAACACTTTCACAAAGATTAGTAACTTTCTACTTGCGGTTGTGAAGTTCTGAACATTTAGAATTGGGTTGATACAGATTCAGATTAAGTGCATTCTGAATTGTAAAAACAAATCGAAGTAATGATTCTCAGAGAAAACAGAATTAAACGAAGGGCTGCCTATTGATTCATCTCAACTCCACCAGCAATGAAAGGCCACCATTAGGAAACTCTTCCTTTACAAGGAGGCTACATCACCCTGCTTTCCAGTGGTTCATTGTTCTGATCCCAGGAAATAAGGGCTCTTTCTATTAAAAGTTTTAGTTCATCATCATCCTAGGCACTAGTCCTGTTGTTGGATATGAGTTTCCCTTCTTCTATATGTTTTCGAAATTTCTGCTTTTACTTTTTGTTCGCTCGCCAATAAAGCCATGAAATTCTGCCCGCTTTCATATTTTTTTTGTTGTAATTTAGTAATTTAAATCATCTACACGTTGTCTTTTGTTTTTATTCAATAGCCCTTCTTTTTTTTTTTCTGCTCTTTATGAGGCTTTCCATGATTTTTCTTCAACTATGAGAATGTAATCTGATCCTTCTTTTCCAGAAGAATAATGCTAGCTATCTTAAAGCTAATTGGCACCACCTATATGATTTTGTATTGATTTTGCTAGTACACGAAGAATAATGCTAGCTGTCATAACAACTTTGTGTAATTATTTTTTCTTATTTAATGCATAACTTATTTGTTTATTTCAATGTTAATTTAGTTGTTTTATATACATGGTTAAATATTTTAACCATTTTGTTAATGTCTATTTGCAATAGATGCATGCAAGAATCTGGGTCTTCTAACAATGCACGGTCTTCTCATGCTATTGGAAGGTTGGTCAACTTAGTAAGGGTATGTGTTATCCCTATAGTTGCCTGATCTCTTGAAACAGAGATCAAAGTTTGAATTTTCTATTTCTGTAATTCATAATCACCAATCTTCTTGGAATTAGACTTATCACCATAATCTCGTGTCTCTTTCTTGAGCAGGAAAATGATGAATTTTATGAATTAATATCATCTAGGTTTCTATCAGAAAGTAGATATAACATAAGCATACGTGCAGCTGCATGTAGGGTTCTTCTGAGCTGTCCTTCAACTGGAATGGTAATTTGTTTTGTTTCTCTTTTAATTTGATCATTCTAGTTTATGATGCTGTCCTGCATCTTTCTGCGTAACAAAGCCATTATTAGCAACTGACCGCTTTGTAAATCATCTCCAGTATTCCCATGTTTTTGATGATACTGTTCTCGATAATTTCAAATGCTGGGTAGTGGAGGACGTTCTAGAAGGTTCTGCTGATGTTTGCAATTGGAAGCGTGAATTAGGAAGGAATAAACCCACAGATTTTGAAATGCTTAAAACCTATGCCACTGGACTTCTTGCTATGTCACTAGCAGGGTGCGTTGTTTGTGTTTTATTTTTCATTTCTTTTTATTTTCTTCTTGTTTCCACCTTTTACTTCAAACTCTTGCATGTGAACTTAACAAGTTCGATGGTGGTATGGACAGGGGTGCCCAGGCTGTGGAAAATATCTTGACATCAGGTTTGTCAGCCAAGCTTATGCGGTACCTGCGCTTAAGAATTCTTGGAGAGGTCAGTTCTATTCAAAAAGATGCTGTTTCTCAATCAGAGGTCAAGCATACACCTGTTTCTACTTCTGCAAGAGGTAGAGAAGAAAATAGAGGCAGGTTTCGGCAGGTTTTGGATGGACTAAAGATTGTAGATGAATGTTTATCAAATGATCAAAATGCTGAGAGGGATCGAGAGAAGAATTCTACTATGAGACAGGCACATGAAGAAGAGTGTTGGCAAAATGGTGTTGAGTTGCGAAAAACTGAACTTGCTACTCCTTCAGTAGATTATTACGGTGAAGGTGATGTTGCTGCAGAGGATGAATGGAAAAAACTTGATCAGCTTGATGGAAAATTAAAATTTTGTGAGAGGCAGATTGCTAGATCAACTCATGAAGATGCAGATGAAAGTGTGAGAGATGATTCAGCACGTCGAAAGATAAATCGGGTTTGGCCTAGATCAAGAGGGAAAGGAAGGATACCTGAAGGTACCTTTGATAATGAAAGGGTTTTGTTGTCTCCATCTTCTGGAGTCCGAGTAAGTGACATGGCTAGAAATTCCAAGGACAAGAATCCCTATAAAATTGAAGACACCCAAAGGGTTTGTGATTTTAGGAAGAACCCTATCGGGATTGGAGTAGATAGCGCTGAAGAGGATAATGATGATAGATTTACTGAATGCCTTGTTGGTTCACGGGATATATCAGAGATTATAAAAAGAGCTACTAGAGCTGCTGAAGCTGAAGCCAGAGCAGCTAATGCCCCCGCAGAAGCTATTAAAGCAGCAGGTGATGCAGCAGCTGAACTTGTGAGAACTACAGCCTTAGAGGTAGGACTGGTTCCTAGACCTTTTCTTTTTCTACACTATTTTACCAGCCATTGATACTTTCATCTCTCTATGTAGGTCTGGAAAAGCACTAATGAAGAGAATGCTGCTGCTCTAGCTGCTTCTAAAGCTGCGTCTACTGTGATAGATGCTGCTATGGCCACCAAAGCCTCAAGGTTCCCTAAACTCCACTTCTTCTCTTTCTTTTTTGATCTTCTTCCAAATATTTTCTGATTTTTAATGCAGGCGAACCTTTTAGAAGGCCAATTTATTTTATCTATATACTTTATTAATTAAGTGGATCATAGTTTATTATTTTGTTATATAACAGTTCAAATTTATAATATTGAAAGTTTTTGCAAGATTTATGTTATAGTTCAGTACTTGTTGAGTAGCATAACAAACTTAAGTGAGAGTATGGATGAATTTGAAAAAGGAAAACAGTATTTTTTTCATTTTTAAAATAAAAAAAAAATGAAATTAAATTTCTTTTATTAAAAAAGACAAAGACAAGATTTTTTAATATAAAAGAAATAATTTTTTAAGAATATTTAATACCCTTTTCAAATCTCATAGCACAAGATTTTTAAATTGTTTTTCAAATCATTCAAAAATTTCACATCTCATATCACAAGTATGCACATTTTAATTTATTTTCAAACATAATCACTAAACATTACAATAATAAGTAAAAGTGCAGACAGTAAAGAATGGCAAACCAATGTATAGTAGTTCAATCACCAATGGCTTACATTTGCTCTCGGACCTGTCTTAGGATTTTCTACTCCCTCTTTCTATAACCGCAAGATAAATAAGCCTCTCTTCTTCTGGGGTATTGGAGAAACTCTACTATCACTTCTACACCAATCACAAAGTTAGCTACTCATAGATGCATCGTTAGGTACATATGATTTCCATAGTTGTTTTGAGATTCAAGATCTCCCAAAAGAAACACATAGAGGTTCTTAATTAACTGGATTTTTAATCTCTCCCTCATAAGGTGTTGTAAGGTGACTTTTGGTGTATGCTCACATTTTATCTCTCTAGAAACTCTCTCTCAAGGCAAGTGATTTCTTATGAGTTGCTAGCAATTCTCTCTTTGTTTTTTTTTTTCTAAGGTTTAGTATAGGTTTTTATATTTTGTCTGTTGCTTATTAGTCTAAACCTAATACTACTTAAACAAACAAGAAAAATTTAGTGGTTGATCATACAACATGACCAAGGTAGAATCACATGATTAATTTAATTTAAATTTTATGAACGGTTGGAAATATCATGTGAGTAAATGCATTTTTTTGAAGGAATTGATCGTGTAATATAATTCATATCACACTGTATGAACAGTTCAAATTTTTTATAAACATAATTAAGGCAAATTGAGTCCATTGGTTTGATTATGATAATTATCCTTATCATATAGGATTATGTGCATCATATATGATTAGTTCAAATTTTAAATTATCTTAATTAATGTAAGTTGATTTGTTAATATTGTATCAAAATAAGATTGATCGTATAGTGTAATATATATCCTAAAGTATGATGTTAAGATCGATTTGCATTAATTAACATATTCCTAATCTAAAATAAAATATCCTAATTGTAATTTTGAAGTCAAACATGAATTTACAACACAATTAATGATCATAAAATTTAATTAGATCTTTGAGAAATTTGGTTCTGGTTGATGGTATAGTACGATCCATGATTGTGTAGCATGATCTTGGATTGCTTTATTTTATTAGTTTTGGTTGATGGTATAGTACGATCCATGAACATTGTTCATCATAATCTTTTGTGTGTGTTGGTCAACTTGGCGACCTCAATACCTGGTAATACAATAATATGACTAGAAATTAAAAAAAAAAACACACTTCGGATCTTTAAGCACCAGTCTTGAAACCCTCTTTAACCAGCTTGAGTTGCTAGGATCACAGGCTTCCTTTGAGTTATGTAAGTGCTTATAAATGTCATTTTTTCATAAATTGCTTTCCAGCTTTTATTTGAAATGATAACACTCATACATGTATGAATCTTATTGAAAACATTTTAGTTCATATCATTATATGTTTATGATCATAGAAAGTTCCATGGAAGCTTAAGTTTTGAAGTCAAGCATGTCATTTCAAAATGTATGGAGTCATTTGTGCATAGATTTATTTCATTAATATATGAGATTAGAGATTTCCTAGTACTATCAGAGAGAGAGAGAAAAAAAAAAACACTTGTTATTCATATTGTTATGGTATGACTAATTATGATAATGATGATGGTGTCATTCAGTTTGAACCTTTTGAGTTTTTGACAGGAGTTCCCTTGACTATTGTGATGTCTCGGTGGAGTCAAAGGTTGGAAAATCTGAATCGGAGGAGCTGGAAGTATTTTTTATTGTAGAGGGTAAATCTCTTGCACAACTACGAGAGAAGTACTCAATTCTATGTCTCCAAATATTGGGTGAATATGTGGAAGCTTTAGGACCTGTTTTGCATGAAAAAGGTGTTGATGTCTGTCTTGCATTACTGCAACGCTATTCCATTGATGGACAGGCAGCAGACAATTTGGCATTGCTGCCTGAGGTTCTTAAACTTATTTGTGCCTTGGCCGCTCATAAAAAATTTGCTTCCTTGTTCGTTGATCGGGGTGGCATGCAGAGGCTTTTGGCAGTTCGCAGAGCTTCTGATACTTTTGTGGGACTTTCATCCTGCTTATTCACAATTGGTTCTCTTCAGGTAATGGCATATTTTACTTGTTTGGTGGTTAAAGTTTGTGTATCTGGATATCATGCATATTATGCATACATCTTAGAACCTTATTTTTCTTCTGTAATATTATCTACTTTTTTTACAGGGAGTCATGGAACGTGTGTGTGCGCTAACCTCTGATAACGTGCATCAAGTGGTTGAGTTGGCGCTAAACCTTCTTGAGTGTTCCCAAGAACTGGCTAGAAAGAATGCAGCCATTTTTCTTGCTAATTCATTTGTTTTCAGGGCAACGTTAGAATCTTTTGATTCACAAGATGGTATGCCAAAAATGCTTAATCTTCTGCAGGGTGCTGCTTCGATTAGATCTGGTGGAAACTCTGGGGTGTTAGGTATGCCTGGTGTGAATTTGCAAAATGATCGAACATCTGCTGAAGTTTTGTCTTCACAAGAGAAGGCAATTGCTTATCACACTTGTGTAGCACTACGCCAGTATTTCAGAGCCCATCTTCTTTTGCTTGTGGATTCTCTTCGGCCAAATAAAATTAGTAGGAATGTAGCACGAGGCACTTCCACCAGTGCAAGATCTTGCTACAAGCCACTTGACATCAGCAATGAGGCCATGGATGTTGTATTCCGACAAATACAGCGCGACAGGAAGCTTGGATCAGCATTTGTTAGAGCTCGGTGGCTAGCAATAGATAAATTTTTGGCTTCAAATGGCCATATAATTATGCTGGAGCTCTGCCAGGTTGTTGCAACTTTGCAGCATTATAATAACATCAACTTTTTTTTTTGTTTTAATTTTATAACTGCGTCAGTAACTTTGTTTTTACAGGCCCCAACTGTTGAACGATATCTTCACGAGTTAGCTCAGTATGCGCTTGGTATTCTTCATATTGCGACATTGGTACCCTATGGTCGTAAGTTGACTGTTAATGCCACTCTGAGCAATGATCGGTTGGGAATGGCTGTTATTCTTGACGCTGCAAATGGTTCTGGATATGCAGATCCTGAGGTATGGAAAAGCGTTTATGCTTGTGTTCATTAAAAACTCTGTTCAAGCAGATCCTTAGTGTTTAATTAAAATGAATTACTTATATTTTCATGTTTGCCTTTGATGTGGGTGACAGGTGATCCACCCAGCATTAAGTGTGTTAGTTAATCTCGTCTGTCCTCCGCCTTCTATAAGCAACAAGCCCTCTGTGCCAGCACCAATTCAACAGTCTGCTTCCACTAACATGGTCAATGGTTTTGCTTTAGAGAATAGAGAGAGGTATTTGGAGCGCAATATGTCAGAACGAAATGTTTCATTTCCTGTCCTTAATGAGTCTCGGGAATTGAACCAGTTAGAAAGAGGTGCTGGGACAACATCATGCAGTTCACAAACAACTGTGCCTGCAATGACATCCGGAGTTGTTGGAGACCGCAAGATATGCTTAGGACCTGGAGCTGGCTGTGCTGGTCTGGCTGCCCAATTGGAACAAGGATATCGTCAGGCAAGGGAAGCTGTGCGAGCAAATAATGGAATTAAGGTTCTTCTTCATCTTCTTCATCCCCGAATGATTACTCCACCACAGGCTCTTGACAGCATCAGGGCCCTTGCTTGTCGTGTCTTGCTTGGCTTAGCCAGAGACGAAACAATTGCGCACATACTAACAAAGTTACAGGTAGTTTCAGCTGTTTAATTCCAATATGTGTCTCAAAAGAATGCACGACACGTGATATGACTTATGATAGGACTTATAGTAGGTTCAAGGAAAAGAATAGCATCTGTTACCTTGATACTACTGCTCCAGGATGGTTTCCTTTTTTTTTTCTTTGTAAATGTTACTGCGATATATTACCTGTTGAATTTATGAAGGAGATCATGTTTTATTTGTTGATATAACCCTCCCTAATATTACAGGTAGGGAAGAAATTGTCTGAGTTGATTCGTGATTTGGGCAGCCAGGCTTCTGGAAATGAGCCAAACAGGTGGCAGGCTGAGCTTGTCCAGGTGGCGATTGAATTAATTGCGGTAAGTACCCTCAGAGTTCATCCATTTTCTTTAAAATTGCAAATATTCCTGTTTCTTTTGATTTCTCTTGTTATGATACAATTATTCATCTTTAACAGATTGTGACAAACTCTGGGCGTGCAAGTACTTTAGCGGCTACTGATGCTGCAGCTCCCACATTGAGGCGCATTGAAAGAGCTGCGATTGCTGCTGCCACCCCTATTACTTACCACTCCAGGTATGCAACTTTCGCCAACAAGAAAGGCTACTAGTGTGGTCATTAACCTACATGTTTTTTTATGACTCATTTTATTGATTGCAGGGAACTACTACTCCTTATACATGAACATCTCCAACTCTCTGGTTTGACAGCTGCTGCTTTTGCTTTAAAGAAGGAGGCTGATTTGACACCACTGCCATCTTTGTCAGGACCACCTTCCCTTCATCAAATTACAGCCCAAGAAATATCAACTGTTCAAGTCCATTGGCCATCTGGACGTGCGCCAAGTGGATTTCTTGCAGATATTAATAAATCTGCAGTGCGGGATGAAGATGCTAACCAAAAGTTTGATCTAGCGTTGGGCTGTTCACGGAAGAAGCCTCTGGCTTTTGCTTCAAACCTGTTACACGGAAAGAGTCAGCTTTTATTGAGCTCATCATCTATAAATGGTATATCTGGCTCCTCAAAGAGTCCATCAGCCTCATACAACGAGGGAGAGATTTCACAGTCTGGAACCAAGTCTAATGCTGATTTAGATCCTCCAATAAAGTCGCCAATTTTGTTAACTATGAAAAGAAAGTTAATTGAACTAAAGGATCCAATCTGTACCACACCAGCAGCAAAACGCCTTGCTATGTCTGATGTTTCATCTCTGCCTCCATTCTTTCCAAGTCCTAGTAGCGGACATAGATATTCACCGGTAATTGATGGAATTAATCAATCTCCATTAGGTAATTTTACTCCAAAGTGCCCATTTGGCCGAATAACTTCGAGTCACATTCCGGTCGATAATTCTGAGGAGAGTCATTACCAAAATGCATCTGGGGCAATTGTTACACCCCTTCTTCAGACAGGGATTCCAGGCGAGCAGTTGCCTGGAAATATGGAGAGAATGACCCTTGATTCTTTAGTTGTGCAGTACTTGAAGCATCAACATCGGCAGTGCCCTGCTCCAATAACAACTCTACCACCACTTTCTCTTCTGCACCCACATGTTTGCCCAGAACCCAGCCGTAGCCTCAATGCACCAGCAAATATGGTAGCACGGGCTAGTACTCGTGAGGTTGGTAAGCAGTATAAGGGTATCCATGCTGGCCGTCGAGATCGTCAGTTTGTGTATAGTAGGTTTAGGCTATGTCGGACGTGTCGAGATGACGTGTCCCTTTTAACTTGCATTACTTTCTTGGGCAATTCTGATCGTATTGTCACGGGAAGTCACTCCGGTGAAGTAAAAATTTTTGATACTAGCAATGGCAATTTATTAGAGAATTATGGTAGCCATCAGACACCCGTTCCTATGATTCAGTCAGCCGTTTTAGGGGATTCCCAGCTTATACTTTCCTCCGGTACATTTGATGTTAAGTTGTGGGATGCCTCTTCATTCTCAAATGGTCCGTTCCATTCATTTGATGGATGCAAAGCAGCTCGTTTTAGCCACTCAAGAACCACATTTGCAGCCCTTTCAGCTGATGCATCTAGCCGTGAAGTCCTTCTTTATGATATTCAAACCTGTAATGTAGAGCTAAAGCTTCCTGATAGTCTGAGCAACCATTCTGGTGCTGTACGAGGAACTACACAATCTCTCATACATTTCAGCCCGCTAGACACGATGTTGCTATGGAATGGAGTCTTGTGGGATAGGCGGAGTGCGTCTCCTTTGCATCGATTTGATCAATTTACTGACTATGGCGGAGGTGGTTTTCATCCATCCGGAAATGAGGTTTGTCTTGCATCTTTAATCTACTTTTTTCAGGAACGAGCCTTTCTAATTTTGTGCATGTTTATGAAAGTAAATTAATGTCACTAGCCTAAATTTATGCATGGATACATAACTTTGTTGATGCACTAGGATCCAATCAGGTTCTGTTTATTGCATTCATCTGTAATTTAAGAAAATTGCACGATAATTCTTAGCAACGGTGCTTTTAAACCTACCTCGTGAATTGTACTGTGGGGACATAAAAACATATTATTCCTAGCTTGCATAATTATGTTGACATAGCTGTAGACTTCTTTCAACATATAATTGATGTTGTTTGATGCTCAATGGCATTGCATCAACATATCCCAACTTATATATTTTTGGGAATTACTATCTTCTGTATATATATATTCATTGAATGTGATTGAATCCATGCAGCTCATTCTAAACTCAGAGGTTTGGGATCTTCGGAAGTTCAAGCTATTGAGAAGTGTGCCTTCTCTGGACCAGACTGTAATCACGTTTAACTCTGACGGGGATGTAATCTATGCTATTCTCCGGCGTAATCTTGAAGATATAACCTCTGCTGTTAACACTCGCCGCGTTAGGCATCCACTTTTCCAAGCATTTCGTACTATAGATGCTATGAATTATTCTGATATTGCTACAGTTCCTGTGGACCGCTGTGTCCTCGACTTTGCTGCTGATTCCACCAACTCTTATGTTGGCGTGGTCGCCATGGATGACCATGAGGAAATGTTTTCCTCTGCTAAACTTTATGAGATTGGAAGGCGGCGACCTACCGATGATGATTCAGATCCAGATGATGGAGGTGAGACGGAGGAAGACGAGGATGATGAGGATGATTCTGAAGCTGATGTAGACTCTATATTAGAAACAGAATCTGATGGTGAAAGAGAAAGTGATTCTGATGATGTAAACAACAATGAAGATGATGAGGATATTGACAGTGGAGATGAGCAAGATGAAGCTGATTTCAACATTGATGATGTAGAGTTAGAAGGGGGCCAAGGGATATTAGAGATTATGGCTGAGAGTGATGACGGTGAAGATGAAGATAGTGGGCTCGAATCGTATAGCAGTGATGAGGAAGGGGGTTTCACAGGCAACGGTTTTGGATTCTGACTTTCCCCATCAAATCAGTGTGCCTCGTGTAATTATCTGTTTCTTTTTGTTTCCTCCTTCAGGTATTCCATTTAGGAAGAATTTGAACGAGGATATCAAGAAAGTTTGTAAAGTTTTGGAGGCTTAGCATCTTGAATGTGATGGAAGGCTATTTGGTTAATTGTCCAACTGTCAAAGCAAAGAAATAAGTTTTCATTATGCCATTTTTATGTTTCCTTTTTTTTTTTCTTTCTTGTAAGTCTTTTGATTTCCCTTTTGACGCCTTTTACAGTGTTTTGCATAATTCAATATTGGTGTAATTCTCCACGAGAACATTTTTGCTGGGTAGTTGGGCCTTAAAGACTACCCGAGTGTACGATTTCTTTTGGTTCTTAGTTTTCCAAATTTAGTACTTTTTTTTTCTTTTTTTTTTGTTGCAAATTTAGTACTTATTTTGTTGAATAGCAATGATGTACATCTATTTTTTGCTACTTCTATATATATATATATATATATATATATCATGCATGTAGCCGGTTAAGAAAATTATTAAGTGTTTTTAGAAGTATTATGAACATTATTTTATTTTATCTGAGTTTTATCTATAAATTTAATATTTTACAATATTTTGTATTTTAAAAGGGAAAAAAAAAAAAAACGATGGCTTGAAGTTTTTATAAGATGATGTTTATGGTATTTGTAGAATTTTTACCCTATGTATTCTTTTCGCAGTGCCATGCAACCTTAATACTGTAATGAATTTCGTTAGTTAGATTTTAGTACATTAAAATTGGATGAAGATATATCTAGTTTAATTTATTTGATGTTATAAGAAATTGTTTTTGCACGGTAATAATTATTTTGCCACATTTAAAATAGATTTTGTTGCGAAGGATTAAAATTGGTTCTGGTATTATCGTAAAGAAATAGCTTCGATAATTTTAATAGTTCCGTTTTGTTGTTAGTTTTGATTTTATTTTTATATACGAAAATCTGAAAATATAATTTAAAAAATAAATTTGAAGTAAAAATGTTTAATGTATTTTTGATGATTGATGTTTTCGTGTAAATATATGTGGAGGGGACAAGGTTAAGGATTTCAATCAATAATAAAAAATGATAGATTTAACCTTTGGGGAGTGGTTTAAAGGAGGGTTATAATTGGGTTAGGTGCACTAATGAATAAATCTTACTCAATCAAAAATTTTAAATTTACGATGAGTGCTAATCATTTGATGTTTCTAGATAAATGTTATTGCATGATAAAACATTCATGTCAGTAGAGAGATGGAGTGTTTTATGCCCTAGCTTTATACAAAGATTTAGAATATAGACATATAAGAGAGATGGGTGTAAGAATCAAAAGAGATCATATTTTTTATCTGAAAAACTAGAAAAAGGGGAAAATCATGGGGCATTGCCTAGTTGAAATGATTCCACTAATGATTGTTGCTTATTACAAATGACGTCCTTCCTTGGAGGAAGGCTTTGGAAAAATATAGAAAATCTATATCATATAAAGCATATTATATGGTTGGAGTTGGAAGAATCTAGTGATATGAGAAATGTTCTCAATACAATGTTGGCATATTTGTTTGGTTAGTAGGATTGTGATCAGTTGGTGAATGAGGTCGGAGGGACCGAAGTTGGGTGAAAATAGTCGGAGGGATCGAAGTTGGGCGAAAATAGTCGAAGGGATCGAAGTTGGGTGAAAATGGTTGGAGGCACCATAATCGGGTGACAGTGGTCAGGGGGATTATAGTCAGTGGGTGATGTATCTTCATCCAATTTTAAGAATGAAAATGTGAATCTAATGGAGAGTACCTTAAAATGATTATGTTTTTTTTAATCTTCGATCAACCTTATATCTCGTACTGGAAAAACTCAATGAATTACGTACATCTCCTACTATGGGCAAATCCTACTATGGGTAAAATTTTTTGACATCATTTCACTCCTAAAAAACTATCTTGAAGAGCCTCAAAAATCTTTAAATGAGACCTCTATTTAAGAGCTTCCAACATAAGTAGCATTGAGGAGAAGATCATGAAATTATTGTGAAATTTAAAATACTCAAAATTATTGATTAATTGGTTAATTTTAAAATACTAGTATTTTTTAAGTCCGAGAGTTTAAAAATCCAAGAGTTGGTTAAAACTCAAGAGCATTAATATTTAATGACTAATTTGAGTAATTTTGAAATGAAATGTAATAAAAAAGAAGAGGGGGGGGGGATGCTTTCCCATTAATCAACATATACAATTAATACTCTCCAAATTCTTACAAACTCTCAACCAATAAACTCAAAACAACTCACAACAAACCCTTGAACCCTTCAGAACAACTCAACATTGTATAAAACCCATATATAGACAATTCTTAAACTCCCCAAACCTATACAAACACAAACTGAAACTCTCCAACAAAACAACACACTCTACATGGCTCCAAATCTCCAGTATGAACTCCTACAACAAATAAATAAAACTCATTAAGCATTAAAATTAATTTAATATAAAAAATAAATGCTAAAATAGAAAAATATTGCAGTAAATTACTAGTACACTGGTGCATGAAAAGTAAACTACTAGTGCTAAAAAGAAACTACCAAATGGTAAGAAAAGAACTATTGTAGAAATGCACTAACGTCACACAACAACAAATTGAAACCCAGAGACTAGGGTCAAACCTCTTAAAAAATAGGTGTCCACTCAAACAATCAAACAAATCTAAATAAAATAAATGGGTAGCCTTTTTTATAATAACAAGGTTGTAAGACCCATCCCACGACCACTTCTAATGGAAGCCATAAGTCCGACCTCTGAGGGAAATGTTTAGGTGATAACAAAACATTAGAATCCTCACTCGGGCATCCTAATCTATAGAGCTTAGTTGTAAGGCCCACAACGCATGCCACTTAGGTTACCAAGCTAGGTCGTAAGATCCATCATTAGATAACTTCTAAGAAAAAATAAGACATACCCAACTGAAATCTTTTGGATACCTTTAGTAGAGGCCATAAGTCCCACTAACTGAACTACTTTTTAATGAAAGCCATAATTCCCTACCCAAATCTAATCACACGGATATCTCTTGTTCGAAAATTAAGGCAAAAAGCCTCAAGAGAGAATTTAATTTTTAAATAATGCTTTGAAATACAATAAATATGATATTAGGCCCATTTTGAAAGCATGTGAAATTTTTATCATAAATTTCTCAAAAAAACACATAAAAACACTAGCAGTTATTCAGTGTATTGGGTATCATAGTCCATAGGACTAGTTTATGAGACCCACAAACAGACAACTTCTAAGTGAAGTTGCAAGACCCACATTTTAGAAAAATTGCTAAATAAATAACAATGATCCTAAACCCCAAACAATCCAATTCAAACCAATGGATATGTTAATTTAAAGGATTAAGTTGCAAAACCCAGTTTCATGCTACTTCCTAAGTGAAGTCATAAGACCTAACCTAAATAACTAAATTCCCGGGTACCCTTGTTGTAAAGTTAGGTTGCAACACCTATCTTTGGGAAACTCATAAATAAAGCTGTAAGTCCCACTCTAATTTAAACTTACATGAAACTTTTAAAGGAGTCGAAGACATATCAATCAAATTAATTTTTGAGTATTCTAATAGATGTAAACCCTAAAACCTAAATAAAACTAAAATCTACATCTAGCCACTTCAGTCTACTCGGGATCTCTAAGAGGTAGTAACCCATGACTGCTAATCAGATTCCATGTACACTATAATTAATGATTGTTAGAGTTGGTAGATTAAAACTATGGTATACCTAGGATGAAATAACCATCAGATCTTGATTGAGTCTATCTCCATTTCCCCATAATTGAGACTAAAAACTAAAAAAAAAAAAAAAAAAAAAAAAAAAAAAAAAAAAAAAAAAAAAAAAAAAAAAAATTCATCTTTAATCGAGAGTTCTCTATTACATGTTAAGATGGGAAATTAACTATGAATAGATTTATTCATGAGAAGTAAGGACCCCTGATCTAATTAAACCCTAATATTATCATTAGGAGAAATCTAGTAAACTCTAATTTGACTAAATAAAAATGGAATCTTATGTCAGTAAAGTGTGATTCATGGATTTGTGTTATTTTTTGAGACAATAGATTTTTGGTGACTCCATTGGGGATTACTTTTCTCTCATTCTTTGGATGAAAAAAAATTTTATATATGGTCTCAAATAACTAAACATAAAAAAATAAATATAAATGTTCATTCAATGCAATCTTGTGTTTTCTTTTCCAACAGAATTTAGGTTGACTCTAATCCCTGCATGTTCTATTGAGAGGTTGATAATATTATGCCTCTAAAGTCCTTCATGATTGTGAAACTAGGCGAGGGAGCTATAATGTAGTTCCCTCAAGCCTTTTTGAACACAGGCTATGTTGGAGCGACCATTTATTTAAAAACTATTTATGAAGTAATGCAATTCTAATAGTGCATTCCTAAGAATACTGTTAGTGTTAATACTATTAGAGTTGTCGTTAAGAAGCCTACTACTGAAGCTATTGATGAGAAGGGTCCCAAGAGGGAATCTATATTTTTAAGGCTCTCTATTGCATCTACTACTACCTCAGCCATTCAAAATTTTTTTTATCCCAAGCTGTAATTTATTGGTATGAATACAACCAATCAGGACCTAATCTAGGATGATGTACCTAAAGAGTATAATATTAAAATTTCTTATACAAGTACTTAGCTTTCCAGGAAAGCTAGAAGAAAGGCCAATGCTTACTTATGAGCTAATGACTAGGTACCCAATACACTTCAAGAATCATCACCACAGTTAGAGACAAATGTACTAACCAATAATAGTTTTGAATTATTAAATGAGTAAAAAGAAATGTTGAAAAGAAAAAAATAAAGAAGTCTTTATAGGAGGCTCCTCGTTGATAATTACAGCTGCCAAATAAGGAACAAAATGCATCTTTCAAGTTATATAAGATATTGAAGGATGTCAAAGACAGAAATTTGAAATGAAGGTTAAGAAAATATGTTAATAAAGTTATTTCTTTTAATGCGACTCGACCTTAGAACAATAAAGTTTTAATAAGTTCTTATAGAGAGGAGTTTAAACTTCCTCCCTACTTTTGAGAGCCAAGGAATTTCTATCCTAATATGATCCAATACCAATATTACAAAAGGAAACAGTTGGGAGAGCCTTCTGATAATCTATATGCAAGAGGCTATAATAAAAGATATAATAAACAAAAGCCCCAACAATGGTATCATGAATCTGTCCATTCGAATGTATATTTTGATGTTGGTGGTCATCGATATGTGACTATAAAAAGATAGCAAGTTTGGGTTTCAAAATGTTCAAAATATCTTGAAGCTCAAAAAGAAGAATATAATAGAGAAATCT